CTACTACTACTACTACTACTACATGGTAGACCCCACAACTAAGCCCCCAGATTGGTGACGAAGACACGCCACCTGCACTTGCACGTGGCGATGCCGCGCTCGGAGAGACGGCTGCCAACCTTTCAGGGATGGCGCGACCCCAGAATTTGAAACTATGTATATTCATACATGTGTATATATATATATATATTTGTATATAATATGTACATATATATATATATACATATGTGTGCATGCTGCTATAGTCACATACATACATACACACATGCATACATGCGTAGAAGCATGTGTACATGTCTACAGGAAGACTCTAAGTCTATGGCTGTAGAGGAGGTCTCTTGCTGAAGGTACCAGGGCTTGGGGCTAAAGAAAGGTATTGGGCACAGTGGTGGAGTTGACGGCTTATATCAGTGTTTGCAGGGTTCAGGGCATTCAGGGAGCGGAGCTCTCCCGGAAGTAGCAATGAAACTTCACATAATATATGGTTGTGGGTGGTATTTGGGTTTGTGGTTGGGGCTGAGGACCTTTGCACGCTGCATTCTTGACGGGGTCGTTTCTCTACTTGCGGTTGCAAGCTACGAGAACAGTCCTGATCTCTTTGTCTGTTTCCTAGCAAAACGCTCCCACATTGCAGTTCTGATACCCTAGCTGCTATCAGGGTTCGGGAACTTCTGACAGCATTTAGCTTTTGGAGTTTAGGCGCAGGGCTTGATATTTCACCTCCGTAATTCACAACTTATGGATAGATTGAGGAAAGCTCAAGATCAAGCATGTGGACCCCGCCGATCCCAATGCGTTCCATGTGATGCGATAGCTTATACCTGCTGCAAACAGGGATGCTTGCGGACGTGGCAAGAAAAGTCTCCCGGCGAGAGGTGCCCTGTTGTTTTGATAAGGCAGAATGATAAGGAATTTTGGTCCCTAGCTTTCCTCATGGTAATTATACGATAATCAGCCCCAAACCCATGTTCCAATGCTTACGACCTATTGTTTTTTATTTTCTAAAGCGACAGTCTATATACAAATATGAAGCTGGTCTGCTACTTCAAGTTGAAACGGCTCTACTTGACCGTAACCATGTGTATGCAGACCCAAAGTGCAGAAGACTGCAGTTTTGAAGCGAGGGGGCTTTGACTTTGAAGGTCGTGCTCGAAAAACAAGTCCCACCTCTTCCGAACCAATACTTCGAGATGGGATGGGAGTCTGATATATGGGGGCCTTAATAATTAGAACAGGGTTTTGGGGCCCATTGTACTGTACAGTAATTAGAATAAGGAACGCCCAAAATATTACTGGTAATTATTTGCGCCCCCACACTAGCTCCCCAGACTCCAACCTTGAAATTCTACTTCTGCCAGCAAGGGGACGACGCCTCCTAACGTCGTTAACGGAACTGAGTGCGGAACGGATGCAAGTGGACTAATCCGCCATGTCAAGCTGTGTTAAGCAAGTGTCGCGAATTTGGTGTAGTCGCATATGTCTTTTTTGCAGACATCCTAATCATGCCTTACCTTGCCACACTGGCTTCAAGTAGTGCATTTTGTGCTTCTCTAACTGTGATCGGCTTCGGCGGTTTGACCTGCTATGACCGATAGCTAGTGCACTTTGGTTGTGCCGCGCTGTGGATGCTATGTCGTGTAAGCTACATGGTGCTGTGCTCCGAGGTAGTTTTTTGCCACAAACGATGCTGTGCTCCTGTCTTGCAACGCTGCAGTTCTACAGCACATCCCATGTGGCATACGGTAGCATGCCAGCATGCGATATATATTGCATCATGGTATACTGTGGTGCATCAGTATATAGCATCGTGTGAGATAATGCAGTAGCTGCACTTGCGTTCTGGAGTTGCGAATGTTCCGCCATGTCCAACCCATGAAGTTCATGTGAACCGTAGACTTGCTCTAAGTCCGTGTCTTGCTATATGTACGCACAGCTGCAACCTTAAACTTGAGATCGCGACCCTGCTAACTTGCAGCACATCGAGAAGGTGACCAAGCATGAGATCGCACATCTTGTGCATTGCCACGAGCAACAGAAATCGACAACTCATGAATTACGGAGCCCGTAAAGCACCCCTGGCAAGCGCTTATGGAAGCCTGAAAGAGCCCTTGTAGAACTCTTTTCTAGTGAAACTGACAATGCCTGAGCTCCATTGATTGCTGCAGCAATGTGCTCTGTGATCCAGCCGACGAAGGCCTCCCTGTCTTTCATGTAATGTAGAGGTGAGAATAATTAGCAACAATGTCCGCTTGCAGTTCCTATGTACGTATGGCTTAGTTGGCCTACAAACCCTTGTTATTAAGGTCCCAGTATTATTTACTGCTTGTTGAGGTTTCGACTTTAGTTGCTAAGGTTGTAAGTCTCATAGGTTCTCGCGGCACGGAAAAATCCGGCCCGCACCTCTGAACATCCTGCCGAACATGTAGTTGAGGATGTGTGAGTGTTGTATTCTCGATGCACGGTTGTCACTAACGCAAACCCACCAGATCAAGGAGGGAGCATACAAGAATCGCTGCAACATCAAGAGAGTTTGGATGGTAGTGTAGAGTGAACTTTGACATAGTTGGGGTAACTGTTTACATTTGTATGGCATGTTGTGGGCAAGCCAATAAGGAATGAACCTTTAAAAATTTGATACTACCTCAACCATGAACTAGTAGAAAGGACAGGAATCCAATATCTCAGCTCTCGAACCTGCCAACTACATCAGAACGCCGATGAATCTGCGACCTAGCCCGGGAATCCCAGCAGCCTAAAGAGACGCCAGGAAACATCAGAATGACTACATGTTAGTTATGCTATGAACTGTCATGGTTTAGGGTGTATTGGTTTTTGGTGCCACTGAAGGTATCGGCCTAGGGCATCATGTGCTTGTGTTGCACTTGGCGGCTCGAGGTAGTACACGTGAGCTGCATGAGCAGGGCTATCCCACGTAAGCTACGAACCCTGTCCAACACTGACTTCGCTGCTCACCAGCCTACGAAGCCCACCGAGTCCTGAAACCTTTCATGAGAGGCCAAAAGAGGCCGACGCTTGCTGACGTAGACCCCTGATGAAGAAAGCCTTCCTTTCAGCTTGCTGTAGCCCTCGAAGCAGGGGAGGTTTATAAATCAGGGCTCTGCATTGCAGCTTTCGTGGATGAACGAGCGCATGTTATGCTTGAGCGGCTACGAGAATTTCGGAGCGACCTCCCCGAGCTCGTCTATGCCGACAAAGAGCACAGGCTGATTCGTCTCGGGTTGGGATATAGGGTTTAAGGATTTAGGCTGTTTTGCCTTACTTTCGGATTAAAATTTAGAGCGTGTCTTGTAGCGCCCCGAGCGTCGCGAATTGTATGTGAGGCTGATGCTCAATACTGGAAATGACAGCTCCTGCTGCTTCTCCCTGTCGTCCTGTGCTTTATGCTGCTCCTGCTGCTACCGCCTACTGCTGCTCGGGCAGCTGCTTTCATTGCTACTGATACTGCTACTGCTGCTGCTAATGTCACTGCCACTGCTACTGCCACTAATTATTGAGAAGCTATTGCAGCTCTTACCTACCAGCTGCCAACTACTAGCGGCCCACGGATAGCTATTGCTGACTACTGCCCACGAAAATTTCAACCACCATTTACCACTACCGCCACTCCTACAACTATTACTATTACCACTACTAGTAGTTCTACTACTACCACCACCACCACCACGACGACGACTACTACTACTACTACCACGACCACTACTTCTACGACTACTACAACGACTACTACGACGACGACGACGACGACTACTACTAGTGCTAGTGCTGCTACCACTACGAATACTTCTATGAGAACGACTAGGCCTACTACTATTGCAGCTACTACTACGACCACTAATACTACGGCTAGTTCGACGACGACGACGACGACGACGACGAGTACTACTACTAGTGCTAACACCGCTACTACTACGACAGCGACAACGACGACGACGACGAC